TCCATGATTGTTTACCTATAGGTAAACAATCATGGAATCAGACAATTTTGTACTTTGGGTTTAATATCATATGCAATACTGTTTGATACACTTTAATACATATACAGTCAAACCTGTCCGTCCAACCAACTGTTTAGGGCAACCAACTGTTATCAACAACCACATTCAAACAGTCCCGTCCCATTTTACATAGTAAGGACCCCCTTCCAGGCAACCAACTGTAAAACGCAACCAGCGGCCACTTTCTTGTGGTCCCTACGGGGCACGGACACCCTAGTCAACAACCAGATGATGGCATAAGGGCAAGCGATCTAGATCTTGGTGCAGTTTGTTGTAGGGAAATACAATGCACATGGACTTGGGCAGGTCTAGAGGCTGAAAGGGGCTTTACTGATACACACATTAACATCACCCCCTCCCTCTTTAAATATATGTACCTGTGCCTTATGGACCACCCAAACTTCACACATTGCCACTTCAACAGTGCAAAATACAGGAACCATGTGGTTCCTGTGAGTGTGACAACCTTGTGGTTGAATGTAGCGCAGTTGTAGTACTTCTATAAATAAACAGAATTTTCTCCCACTCCTCTGGCTTTCTGGTAGCATCAACACCTGCACCCCTGGTTCCTGAAGAGGGCTTGCGCTGTCTGTCAATGTTAGGACAACAAGGTCTTCTCCCTTGACCTTGTGTTCCAGTATGCCATTAGCTTCCACGCTGGAATTTGAAACCACGACCTTTCAGGCCAAACCAATTTAACTAAATGCTCCTTGGAATCGTGTTTCAGATTTTTGAGGTGCCTTTTTAAGATATTTTATGCACTGATCCAATGACATGTAATCATTTTATTATGGAGTGAGTTATAAACTATTCCAGAAGTTAAAAAGTACTGTTTAAGTAGTCTAACCATGATTCTGTTTTGGTTTGAAATCCACCTTTTCTCACCCTATGAAACAACTAATAAAGTTTGCATGGTCTAAGTCGACTGTGGGACAGGTGTGCATTCTTGCTGACCAACACTAATTCCAAGAGAATTCTGTAGATGTGGAAAGACTGGCAACTATTTGCATCTGTGTTACAGTTAGTGGGTTTGTCATAAGTTCTGTCAGGGTCAAAGCTTAAAGAGAGATATTGATGATACGGTCTGTGACAGTTGTTGAAAACATTTGGAATGGCCAAACAAAAAAGAAGATTTCCTTTCATCAATATTGTTGTTGAAAACAATGAAAGTGTTTGAAAACTTTTTAAAAATGTTTTCATGTTGACTTGTTCATGGCCATCACACAGTTATGCTAGAGTGGCAGCACACTGGTTTGTTGACTCTGCACCCTTGATTTTGTAAAAGGTCCCGTCTATGTTTCCACCTTAAATCACAATGCTTGATGAGAGTCTTGGGAAGTACCTTTGTTTGTCTTGGCAGAGCTGGAGAGGTATTTATCTTTCAAAGTCCTTTCTTGTTTTGTTCCATGGCTGTGAAGGCATCACACAGAAGCCAGTGCTGTGGACACCTGGCCCCTGATGTTAAACCCACATAATGAGGCATGAAATGTGTTTGTGGAGGCTTGTCCTTGTGGGAGGTAATGAAGAGGTGTAGAAAGGTCCCAGACTGCTGGGAAGGAGGTTTTGCTTCCCCAGGCAAGATTTAACCCTGGCAATTCTGACACCTGTCAAACAGGTGGTCATAAATCCCTTCTTAATTGACTTTAAGTAGTAACTTTCCATCATGATGACACTTGCAGATGCACTGTAATAGGCTAGGTCAATGACCTCTAAAAGTTTCATGTTACTTAGATTGCATATTACTCAGTATGTTATATTAATCATTTATTCTACTAATTTCTAGCTGTAGTGCAATCCTATCCATTCCTTATCAATGTGAATTTGATCACTTGGACATCCTCAGACTAAAGGGTAGTAGAATTTACTAGAAACACTGGTATCTATACCAACATGTTCTTACCAGAAGTGGTCTCCAATACAAAAACATGATGAAAACCTGTCCACCACCTGTAAGTGTTTGTAACATACACAAACATATCAGGCCAACATTCCTGTGTCCCACCACACTTGTGTCTAGACAAGGATTCTGGCCACACAAGTCCTGTCCTGCGTTACAACTTTTGTCTATCAGAACAGACCAAAGCCTAACTCAGACTCCTTCCTCTTAAGTTGTGTCTCCATAAAATCCTCTGTAATATCAGACACTTCAAAGTATATTTGTTTTCATAGTGTTAAAAGGTAACAACAGGACAATATTTTGTTATAACAGTTCTTCCTACAGAGTTCCCTACTTTGTGTGGTCATTGTTGTCAGTGTGAGATAGACAGCCAGTGGACGTTTCCAACAGGGAAATGTTAACAAACTGTTAACCAGGACTTATAGCCATCCGGGTCTGCAGAGTGTACCACAGACATAAACAAACAGTCCAGCAATCAGCACAGTTATGTAAGGATCACCTTGAGTTATGGTCTCTTTTTGTCTGGCATGTGTTTATGGGTCAATCTGAGCCATTTGTTGAAGTACTTTGTTCATACTTATGACTGCCATATTTTTACATGGAAGTAGACTTCACCTTTGGTGATGGTGGAAATATCTGTAAGGTGTTGATAGCTGGAAAGTTGTAGGTTGCACAAACAAAGCTGGCTTCTGTCAGGTCAAGCCCTGTATGACTGAAGTGATGCATACTCAACTCTCCTCCATGTGGACAGATAGCGATCACAAATGCCAAGTCCAGATTCCTGCCTAGGTCAGGTCTTTGGGAAAACATCAGTTTGATATTAACTTGGTGGGAGGCTGTGGAAGATAAGGTATTACTGCCCTACAGGACTCTTCATAACTATGGACCACCTACATGTAGGACATACACAGTTCAGCAGCATAGGTGGCTCACTGTTTAGCGAGGTCTTACTTGCTAAACTCAGGCCACAAGTCAGAGGCACTGGAGTCTGTGTTGGATTCTTTTGAAAGTGCTATGATGGATTTGATGTATGTGACTTAAGTTAGGATGAACAGTTAAAATAAACAGTATGCAAAGTGGAGTAACAATTGCGTGCTAGATGGGGAAAGACCATAAATCAACGTGTAGTCCTGTGGTAAAACAAGAAGTACTCAGCAGAAAGTTTGCTGGAATAGAAATAAGAGCATGTACCCATTCCTGTAAAAAAATCATTGCAGCTTGTAGTACTACTGTTAATCAGTACAGGTATATTATTGTCTCCCATGTTTTACTGAGACTTTATCCTGCTGCAGTTCTGTGACTCAATGTTCTGTGCAGTACCCACTTGACATTTGTGGAATGTTAGCACAGAGTACACCAGGGCATAGTTGTGTCCTGACCCAGGGACAGTACAAACAATGTGTTGACACTCAGGAATGGACAAAGTGGGCCTGTAAATTATCAGGACTTCATACTGAACTGCCTCGTTTGCCAAAGAAAAACTTTTTCCAACAACACTGAGTCGATTTGGTGGATCTGAAGCCACAGGTGTTTTTGTCCTTCTCATAAACCCCTTCCCCTCCCCTTCACGGTAAATTCCTAACGTTCCTGTCTGTGATGTTTACCATGGCCCTGTTTACATGACGTTCCTTTCAACACCAGGGCTCCCTGCTTACATACTTGATTGATTAGCAATAGTCTTTAGTTCACTCTGTCCCCTAGAACCATAAACATTTATGTTAGTATAACTTCACTCAGTCTTCAGTGATTTTCATAGCATTTGAATTTATTAATTTGTTTGTTCTTTTGTTTTGCAGATACCCAAGACAGAAAGAAACCTAAGTTGTTCTTCAAGACAGCCCAGCAGCTACATATAGAATCACCAGCAGCTTCACCTGAATCAAGCGTTGAAGGAGGGCCAGCTACATTACTTGTATGATGTGTTCGTTTATGTCAGCAAATCAAGGAACAGAATTTGATATGTCAGACTGAATTTCTCAATTCTGTAGCAGAAAAAGTCATACATCATGTCAATAGTTGATTCTGCCATAGCCTTCTTAAAAATCCCACAACATATGAAGATTTTGACGGTGCCTTAATTGCTGGCATACGGACATTTAGATGAAACTTCAGCAGGAAAGACACTGTCTGACTTTCTACACTGCAGTGGCCCATTTTTTATTTATGTTTGTTTCCTCAGCTTTATGTACCTTTGTAAAAAGAAAAGAGCTTTGGTTCAGATAATAATTATAAACAGGATTCTGGTGAGATATTGCAGTTTCTTGTGACTTAAACAACATATCCAGTAAATGTAAACAACAGTATTTGTTAAAGACCTGTCCAGTAATGAAAATGGACTACCAGCAGGGAAGAAGGGAATCCAGTGCATTAAATGTACATAGAGGTTGTTGGAACCCCATGGGTTGGCATTTTGAGTTACTTTAAGTTTGCCTGTCTGATGTTTTGTGCCAGTACTTTGTCCTTATGGAAGACTATTGTTGTAGAAGGATAACTGAGGACTGATTCTGCACTACTGATAATGTACATGTATGTTCATGACTGGTTATCCAGAGATGGGCCTTTGTTTCTTGGAACTTGACACGGTGCTTTATCTTCATGAAACAAAGCTTGTCTTCTGTGAGGAATGTAAATTCCGTGGAAAATTTAATTATATGTAGTTGCTAACTATTTTAAACAGAATTGCATTGTTCTAGTTTGATTAGTGTGTAACTGCTGTGTCAAACTTGCTTTTTGAAAATTACAATATTGTACATGTACCCCGATAATTTGCGTATTTGGTTAGTGACTGTTACTGTAGCCAATTCTGATGGTTAAAATTGTAAATCAAAATTATGATGTGTATTATCAGCCAAATTGTGAACAGTATTGCATAGCTTGGCATTTTGCAGAGTAGAGTATATATTGTAATTTCGGTCACATTACTTATGGAGAGAGTGTAAGAAAGTTGTTTATAGTTTATTGTTGTTATGCTTTCTGTAGTCTTAGTTTTAATTAATGTGAATGTTTCTGTATTTACAGTAGCTTTCACTGGAACTGTTGAACAGTCAAATGATAGGAATTCTTGGACTACTATGTATAATTACTTATAGTGTGGAGGTGTACAAAAGTCTATATAACAGAAATACTTCCTTGCTATTGTACTACTAGTACTTACTTTACTATTGTTTTTGCCAGTCCTTAGGATAATACCTTTGTTACATGTATTGTGACATCTTTGGAATCCTACCAATTACAGTAAATTTGCTGGCCTGGTTGATATAATCACTATGAGCATAATGAGAAACATATAGTGTGTTTGTACTTGATGACACTGCTGCCATGCTAGTTGGTTGAGTGTAAGAGTTGGACCTATATACATCTGCATGTGTTAATTACATGACTGCAGTGTCAAATTTAACTGACAGTTTCCAGGTCTAACTACCTAGCATGGCAGACAATATTCACATCATAGCCACGAGTACAAACACCCTATAGAGAACAAGGCTACAGATATACATGTAGCAGCTGTACACACATGATGACATGTAGCTATATCTTAGCAACCATGCTTATGTTATAGTGATGTACATCTTGGAATCACATGGCTCTGTATCCATTGACACATTTTGTGCTTGCTTGAGTGGCACTGAGCCAGCAATTTTTGTGGCAATGTTCAGTCGATTTGTACAGCAGTTAGCACATATATTACTACAGGTATACTCCAAAAGCTGTATAAAATCATGTAACACTTTTGTTCTGGACTATTGGAGATCTAAAGTATTGTAACATTCCAGGTGGAAATGTTCTCCCATTTTCTCCAGTATGGCTGTATTTATACTAGTATGAAAGTTGTTCATTTGATATACAAAGTTGTTTAGCTCGTGTAGCTTTCCACATACACGGCACCACAGGATAAAAACATATGATCGTTTTTCAGCATTGAGCAATCAAGTGTGAGTTAAGGCTTGCCAAATGCTGAGATAGAGTAATGTTGCTTTGATATTTTATGGATCACACAGAACACATATCTTTGTACAATGTTGCTCTGCTGAAAGGTGTCTCAGATGACTTGTAATATCTTTGAAGTTTGTTTTAGCAGTGTATGATAAAAGCTGTAGTTTTGGTATTTGTTACAAAAGTAGACTATTGCTTTTTATATTTTGTTAATGGCAGATAACAGACTGAGCTTGTCACACCCCATTTATTTTTTTCACATTGTTGTAGAACTCGAACAAAATGTCCTTTTTGATGTAAGTGGTCCAAAATATAACGGTGACAACAGGAATCGTATCAAACTGTTAGATCACACCAATTTGATTTATTGGTTGTTGGATTCTTGTAGATTATTTGAACGTACAACTGAAGATATGGTACATGCAAACAAACAATTTAAATTGGTGTGATCTCATGGTGGATTTTACAACTTAAACAATGTCCAGTGTCACTTCTGGTTGAATTTGATATTACCAACATTGAGTCAATAGTGACTTTGCATATAGAATGTTGCTAGTTGCTAACATTCCAATGCAGTTTTTGTGGATTGATTTGTGTACAGTTTACTACTTTTGTAATATGCAATAAAGTGAGATACTAGTACCCTGGTGGTCATATGGCAAATACTAGTTGTGAGTAGTTCTTCGTGTGTGTGTATCTGTGTGTGTGTGTGTGTGTGTGTGTGTGTGTATGCATGATTAAGACAAAACCAAAAACAGTACAGGCACAAAAATTGGAATCATAACATGAGCTTTCTTCGAACAACCCCCGCAACAAGGATCCTAAATTGTGCAATGTAGAACATTTCACTGTTGAAGAGGAACGGAAGTCAACACAATATCTACTTGGAGGAGATAGAGATGTTAACTGCTATGTTAGCTAAAAGACCCGGTGCAAGACATTTCACTCACTTCGTATCACATTTCAACATTAAGTTAACTAAAATCTATAAGATCATAGTGGACAGATTCTTTCTACCACATCCATACAGAGAATATAGAGTACATTGCTTCTAGCAAAAACAAGCATACAGAGGAGATTTTCCCCCAAAAAACTTTTTGGTACTCATTATGGGTTCACCACACCACGAAGTGGTGGTGAACCCATATTGCTTTTTCTGATGTTTCTTCTTCTCCTCCTTCTCCTCCTGCCATTTCTTTAAATGGATTCAGCTTCTTCATTTTGGGGCCTAAGGACCTGAAATTTGGTATGGAGGTACAGTAGGCAAATACCCCTAGGCGTTTTTTAAATTTTTGTTGTATACAGGCTTTAG